TTTATTGATTTTCTTTTTATTTCACTCTCTCCAGCCGGACTTGCATCTTTAATACCTGCACTGCGATGCACTACTGTCTGCATCTCTAACCGTTCTTATTAATTAATCTTTTCTTAACAGTCCAATTATTAATAAGGCATACACATCATCACGGGCCACTCGAAGATTCTTTTTTTAATAAGATTTTATCTAGTTTTAATTCCATTCAATAAAAGAAACCCTATCCGCTATAAATAATTCAAAGAACCGCTCAACGTACCTTGTATTTTCTTTCCAGTGCATCGGTGCAAAACTGCATAACGAATAAGGTTCGGGAAAAAAATTGCGGACTACACTAAATTGTGGGAAATGTTTAATTATATGTCTTACAGACCATGAAACGTTGGAGTGTTTGATGAATTGGAGTTATTTGAAATTACCTAAATTTTCTTTTAAAAAAATAAATAAAAAAGATATCGTATAAAAGTATGCGTGAGTTTTATTTGTACCTAGGACTCCATCTGGACAAACGTCTAACTTGGAATTCTCATACCAGACTGAAACGACAAGAAACAGCTCGACGTTTCCGACTTCTTCAACACTTACTAGACAAACGCTCTAACCTTCCAATTAATTCTAAAAGACTCATTTACATGACTATAATAAGGCCTATTTGGACTTACGGAGTTGAGCTGTGGGGCTCCACCAAACCTTCAAATTCCTCTTGCATCCAATCCTTACAATCCAAAATCCTTCGTAAAATCCTCAATGCTCCTTACTTTGTTACAAATAAAATTATCCATAATGACCTTAATGTTCCTTATGTATCAGATTTGGCCCAATCCAGATATCTGTCCTTCCATAATAAACTTCATAACCATCCCAACCCTCTTGTTTCTAAGCTTGCTTACCTATAAATTTCTGATAACCCACCGAGGCGTCTGAAAAGAAGATGGCCACGTGATCTCCTAATATAGACATATTATTAGAGTGCTATCAATGGGTAGTTTCTCAACATGTGTTTCATGTCATTATATCCATGTGCGAATTTACCAGATGTATTTTTTGTATACAGTTGTAAATATCATATAAATAAATAAATAAATAAAATAAAGCGTTTTAATTGTTATTGTGATTAGTTCAGTTCATTTGTTTATATACATTTACTTTTATTATTATTATTTTCTGTATTATTTATTATAAATATAGTGTGAATGTGCTCTCTGAACCACTAGCGGTGTTCCAGGATTTCATTTTGGGAAGGCTTCAGTCCAAAAGATTTTTTGGACATATAACATATAACAATAATTAATTTTTAAAAAAAGAAAGAAATTATGAAATGGTGTTTAAGTTGAAGTCCTATTAGAAGTTCTTGAAGACCGATTTTGGGCAAACTAATTCTGACATTAACAAATTATTCGATTTGATATATCTAACAAACGAGTTGAGAAACAGTGCTCTCTCTCTCTCTCTCTCTCTCTCTATATATATATATATATAGATATATATATATATATATATATATATATATATATATATATATAACTTTTTTTTTTTTTACTAATCATCCCAATCAGTCTCTTCAATTATTTCTTTCTTTCAAAACCAGTTGTCTTTATGGATATTATTATTATTAACTACAGGCTCTTATGAACTGCTCTAGTGAATTAAACTTCATTTTTCGGTATATTTTTTGAATTACGTTGTATGGTACAGAGTTTTTTCAATAAATAAAGGAGGATATAACCCCTCTGCATATTTTTTTTTCTCATGCCCGGAACTAAGTGACCTTGGTTTGATCCTAACATCCAGATGATCATTTCCGGTCTGGATAATTTAAAAAAGAAATCAAAATAACCGAAAAAACCCAAAACGGCTCGTGTAATAGTGGATTGGATGTAGCTCGACCTTGCGACGCTGTGACGGGGGGCGTGGAACCCTCACAACCTGTGTCAATACACCCCCACATCTCGTGGGAACCCTCCACCCCGACCAACCTGCCCAAGGTCGTTCCCCGACTATTTAAATATCAAAACACTCCACCTCCACCTCCCAACGTACGTCTGCGTCTAGTTCTATTGTAGGGGTATGTGGGAGTTGGTCTTCAACGGACTTAGTGCTATAACCCATCTTTGGCGGTTACTAGTCGGACTACTTACTCTAAGGGCCGGTTTAAAAAAAAAAAAATAAATCAAACGGCCTTCTGCGTCCAACTGAAGGTCGTCTGGGAATGAGTGAGCTATAGAAGGTATCTAGAACTGTATGCACCTACCGACGCTCTTACCGTATAGCCCTGGAGCCAGAGCCCAAAAATCGACCTGATCGCAGGCGAAGGTTTGATTGTAAATTACGAAAGTGTATGTTATTCTGAGTAAAAAAACCTTGTCTGCCGTTCCGGAGCCACTGCTTTCAAAAATGGCGGCTGATTTAAAGAATATTAGGCCAATAATTTGAGGATCGAAATGTGCCGAAAGATACCGATGTTATAAAGGAATTACGAATCCCGATTCGAGATATATAATTGGCCAACAATAAAAATGTCAGTACCCAGTATACGCGAAATTTGATGCTCTACAACTTTGATTCTATGGGTTTTTCCACTTAGGAAAATTATTTCCAAGTTACAGGGCCATTTATAGTAATTTGTCTCAGTTTTTGACAAATTTGGTAAAACGTTGGTTGACCGTGGTTTTATACCTTACCACGAAACCAAATTTTAAAGTTTATGTACTCGTTTGACGCAAAATTTAACGTTCTTTAATTTATTAAAGAACACATTTTTCGCTTTGATGCATTGTTTAGGAGTTATAGATGATAAACCCAAAAAATATCGAAAAAATCTGACTTTTTTGGCTGTAAAAAGTTTTCCCTTGGTGGCCAGCGTCAGCAATTTTGTTTTTTAAATGTCTAAACCCATATATACAAGTTAAAAAAATAGAAACTTTTCTCACATTTTTCGCAATGGATTTCCCGTTTCGGTCCTCAAATTATTGGCCTAATATTCTTTAAATCAGCCGCCTTTTTGAAAGCAGCGGCTCCGGAACGGCAGACAAGGTTTTTTTTACTCAGAATAACATACACTTTCGTAATTTATAATCAAACCTTCGCCTGCGATCAGGTCGATTTTTGGGCCCTGGCTTCTAAGCTCATAGACCGTTCATGAGATTAACGGTAAGAAAAAAAGAAATAAAGAAAGTAAATTTTATGCTGGAACACTGAGTACCTTAACAATTTGGGGATGTTCAATTAAATAACGTACAGATTAAAGGCAAGCATAAATAAATAAATCAAAATAATCAATCTTATTTTTAAAAAAACAACTAAGGCATGTGCTTTAGACCAAGGCGAGATTAATAATAATATGAAATATAAATTATAAATAATAGTTCATTACAGAGAGGGTAAAATGCTGAACAATTCCCGACTTACAGTATTCAGATCCGAGTTCACTTCTTTTGAAAAATTCAAAACTAAAACTTAGACAGAAATTGAACACATACAATTACTTACTAAAACCTCTTTGGGCTTACGCATCACAGATATTTGGAACTGCTAAAAAGACTCACTTAAACAAACTTCAAATCTTTCAAGCAAAAACATTCAGAACAATTACAAAAGCACCTTGGTACGTTAGCAACATAATCTTACATACTGACCTCCATATGCCGACTGTTAACGAACTCATTACAAACGATTCCATGACAACTTACAAGGACATCCTAATATACTTATAAATGACATGGCCACTGCGAATATACCAGGTAACGTCTGTAGGAGACTGAAGAGGAGCTGGATGAGGGACCTCCTAATGTAAATATTACACCGAGTGAGGTACCGCTGGGCCACTAGTCCTCGTAATGCCTTTCATGACATTATTTTTTCCAACGACCTCACATTCACTGATTGTTATTACCACTATGACAGGTGTGAATAAAAAAAATTAAACCAAAAAAAAAGTTTCTGAGATATTTTAATCCATACCTTCAATAAAACGGTGTGTTTCTAACACAGTGTAGCGTAAAGATATAATTTTGAAGAATAGCCCATTACAGAGAGAATTAAATGCTGAACAATTCCCTCACTTACAGGCAGTATACAGGTCCGATTTTTATTTTCTGAGATATTTTAATTCATACGAAAAAACAATTAGTCGACTCCAGCCGACTTTACCCGAGCTTAACACATCGCAAATCGGACGGCTGAATCTAATTCACTCTCCACAAAAAAGTGAAAAACGCCCCTGAAGTAGTATCCCCTTCAAAAAGTTTATACTAAGTTTATGGTAGATAAAACCACTTTCATGTAACATTATTCTTACACATATTCGGTAGATTGGTGGTTAAGAAAATGAAGAATTAGTTTATGTGTTAAAATTATATCAAACATGAGATTTAGTTTTAGAATGGATATGAGCAAGAAATTTCATAATTTCAGGAATTTAATAAACGCACGAAATAATTATAATTTGTAACGACAATATTTAAAATGGCTATGTAAATTAAGAAGGAAAAATACTCTAAATTGTTTATTATCTTCAGTCTTGAACAGTGGGAACTACTTTTTATAACTCTTTCGCGTATACTGTCTCAAAACGTAAAACAACCAATGCTTCCATAGTTCTGTCACTTCAAATCAATGTTAAGCCTTCTGCTATTAGTCTAACTGGATTAACAATCGTCATTGTTGGAGATACACACTAGCAAGGGTTTCATACACAAAAGCAACAAAGGAAATTACTCACAAAGTGACCCGTTTTTTCACGCGCACGACCAGACAAGAATGATTCACTCGGAGACTTCCACCTTCGGGACTTGTACCACCTGAGACACAACAGTACATCGGGAAATTACTTGGCAATTTCGAAGATGACGGAACGTGCGAGGAAAACTCTGAAGAAAAGAGCCTTCTAATAACCGAGGCGAAGAGGAAAATGTTAGCAGTAGTCGGCGATAGCTACGTGACGGAGGAGGGTAAAGGAGCTCTTAGGTCGAGTGGAGTCCAGGGTACGTGGAAGCTGGAGCATGGAGTCTCCGGATCACGTGGTAGTGGTCTACCAGGTGTTGTTAATTAATGGACTTGAGGGTCAGCAGGTAGGCCAAGCGAGGCATCCGCGATTTCTTGAAGGCCAATTCCCAAAATGGTAGAATTTTTTGCTGCTCCTTAATGTAGATCATCCCTCCATCTTTCAGCAAATCAACTAACAACGCCAAGGAGCTCCTTGCTAACTTTAGCCAAATTATAGACTTATTATCAGAAATGTAGTGAATAAAGAAATTATGAATCGCTATACATTTTATGTATACTAGTGAAATTTACTAACACATTTTAGTTATTTTACCCTCCATAATCCAATTTACTTGTTCATGTGTCTATTACATCCACTAAGGAAGTGGCTACATCCAGTTTTCCGACAGCAATATTTCTTAGGTGAATTCCTTTTCCGAACAGTTACAAATAAAATACCAGTTTACTTGATTAGTTTACTTCGATCCTTTCTTTAAACACGAGATTCCAGCCCCCGAACATGTATATTCCTCCTCATAGAACTATTTCCTATGAAAATCTCTTCCTTGTTTAGGGATTATTTAACCAAAAATATACACAAATCTGAGCTATCAATGTTCCAAATATATGTAAGAATTAAATATCCATAAATTGAAACTAAATTTAGTCCAGTTCTAAGTGAAACTCCTTGCTGAACACACCTCCCGGAAGTCGGGTCGAAACGTTTAATAAAATAGTTTTGCCACTATTCAGCCTATTTATCTCCTTCCTTTAAAATTAAATATCTTCGCCAGCCTTAGTTTACTGTTCACAGTTATTATTTATTATTTATATATCTATTTATTTATTATTTATATTGCTTACCTGTCCAAATATGTATACATATGGATATTTATTTATATATTACTTCATTATTTTATTGATTCACTTATATTTGTAATTTATTTTTATTTTGTTACATAACTTTGTAATCAAATTATTTTTTGCCTGACTATATTCGTCTGACGAATTTAAATGTCATTTCTATTGTTCGTATTTGTTATACTTAGAGGACTTAGTGCCACAGAATAAAATTTGCTTTTCTTCTTTTATCTTCTAGAAGAATTGAGATCAGTAAAATAGTCATATTTCAAGTTTTAAGAGACCTGAAAACTCTTCCACTAAAAGATCAAAGAAATCCTCAAGTGCCCAACCTTGAATCCCAATGAATTTTCTTTAATATTCCTACTTGTCTGAAAATAATATCATTCCGAAACCTTTTTACGGATTTTTTTTCTTTATTAACATGCGTTAAAATAAATTATGTCCTATGTGAAATCGTTGAAAATCTGATAAATCGATCCTGAGGTAAAATGGCTGAAGTCGAACAGGAGCTAATGCAGCGACGGGAGATATTCATTTGTGTTTTTACTTTTTTTTACGGGGGGCCCCCTCACACAGAGCTCTCCCCCCCACCCCATTGGCCTATTGATTTTTTTCATATTTTAAAGTGGTGATCCCCTCCCCCTTCCCATCCCCAATTATTTTTCATTAGCGTTGGGGTTCCCCCGGCAGCGTATACATGGAGTCTCATAGTCTCTGATTAAAACGTACAGCTCTATCGGTGTCTCTAGTCCGTTCGTGGAATAAGAAAATGAGTAAATAAATTAACAAATTTAAAATATATATTCCATGTGGGATATAGAAATTGTATTAAATATCTAAAAAGTCAATATTTAGCCAGTCTTAGGCATCTTGAGGATAAAAAATAACTAAAATTCAGATGAAAGACAGTACATCTCACCTCAACACAGAAAAAGACGCATAGTGGCCGCATATAATTTACAATACTTAGTCCTCCAACGATGTCAAACTTTGCCACTTACGCTTGAATAAGAACAAAGTATTAATATATTTAGGAAAAAATCTTTGCACGAAGCTTAAAAAAAAAAACTATCAAAATTAATTCATATCTTTATAAAATTGAGTTAAGTAAAAATATTTCCAATAAACTTAAATAACATTATAAGTGAAAATTTTATTTTGTCTTTGTTCATATTACATTTTATTCCCCAAAATGAATTTGCACCTGTCAACGGTTTATTTGCAATCCGCAAATGATTTGATATGGGAAATAATAATACTTAGCAGTACCTCTTCTTTGGTTTGTTTCGAGAAAATGTAATTACCCTTGGGTCGTTAAATAATGAGATCTCTCATCCAGCACCTTTTTAACCACAAAGTAAAAAGTGAGTGAAGTAGTTTGAGTCGACCATTAGGTGTCTCTCGTTTCATTTTAACATGTGGGCCCCATATCATTCTTCTGTCAAAGGTAAGTAAAAAATAGTGTACGGTTTCTGTCTTGGAACTAGGTATGTTTTTAATATGTCCATATCCCATTTTTTTTTATTATTTTAAAAAATTCATCAACATAAAGATCTATTTTTATGAATATTCCATAAAGTAACGACCCGTGAACTGAATGTTTAATATAGAAAGGACGATTGTAAGAAACCCAGTTCTTCTGAATCATTGATGCCACCAAAAAAAAAAATCTAACAAAAAACAATAACAGGAATGATAAAGAGGTTTCGATATCTTCGTGTTCTATCGAAATATTCCCGTTATAATCTTCATAAAGAAAAAAATCCCTAAAAAATGTTAGCGATTCGGTCGATAAACCCTTCTATAGAAAACAAAACAATACTTAACCGTGGAAAAAAAAAATGGATCTCTTTGACGGTGGGCCTATTTGTATACGAATCACTTTGCCGACAACTTTAGAGGGTCAGGGTCAGGAGTCGTATCTAAACAGAAAAAAAAAATGGATAAATAGGAATAAAAACCACCTGAAAAAGTTTTTATTAGTCGGGACAAAAAATACTCGAGTTTTTTAAGTGGCGCGGCATGCTCCACTGACTCAGTTTAGATCGTCCTTTTTTATCAGCTGGTCCTTCTCCTTTTCCTTTCGTCGTGTCCTTAGAGGACCTGCGTACGCCCGGCTCCTCCTTGGTGGTAACCTCTGGCATTTCACAGGCCATTTGGCAAGAGATCATCTCGCGGCACTCCTTCCCTCTGTGAAGGCTAATCTAGAGATTGCTCGAAATATCAAATTATTTTCATCGATGGAAAAGAAAAGCTAAACCCTACATCATAATCCTAAAATAATTCGTTCATTTCCACAATATCCGTACGTCCAACTGCAATCTTTATAATGGAATTGCTTTTATCCTTTCAGCCACGGGTGGATCTACGTGGGAGGGGGCTTTGGGTCTGAAGCCCTCCCCCCAAAATGGTAAAATATAACCATGTTTTAGGGATAAAATATTAAAAAATGATCACTTAAAGTACTGTTCGTGTAATTACATTTAAAAGGACTTTAGGAATCACTTGAAAACCATTTCATATAGGTAGTTACTTTCTTTCTTTTTTTCCTAAGTAATTATCGTTATGTTTATGAAAACAAAGGCTTTCGAGCTGAAGCCCTCCCCCAAAAAAAAATTAAATCCTGGATCCGCTAGTGCTTTCAGCCGTCGCTCTAATACCCTACCCAACTTTGAATCCTGTCTATTCAAGCACTTCACATCTATCATTTCCGAAAGATCTATCATCCATATTAAGTTAATATAATATTATTAACCTCTATATAATAGTTTACATTTGATGGATTGCTCTTTTTAATTAGGGCGAACAGTGATCAATGCTCATGTTTTATCTTTTCTATTATTCCAGTAGTTGGAAATGAATCTGTCTTTAATAAGATGTCAGAAGCATGATTTTCATTGAAAGGCCAGAAATATTAATGAATAGTGTTGCCCAAAACCAAGACCGCCTAACTCATGCAAGACCAAGACCATGGCTGGTAAAAAAAATCGATTTTTTTTAAAATAAAAAAAAGGTAAATTTGTTACTAATACATGACAATCTTAGTTACTATGTGTTAATAATTGGTATAATCAATATACTTTTGCATTTAACGGCTTCAGTTTTTCATTTGGACTTAGGTAAGTTCGTCCTACCTAAAAAATTACAGTAATATCTCTATAGTAATAAACTAACAAGTAACTGCAAGACAGTGGCGAGACTCTTGCGCAAGACCAAGACCATGACTAAGACTGCATTTGCAAGACCAAGACCATGACTGGTAAAAAAAATCGATTTTTTTTTAAATAAAAAAAGGTAAATTTGTTACTAATACATGACAATCTTAGTTACTATGTGTTAATAATTGGTATAATCAATATACTTTTGCATTTAACTGCTTCAGTTTTTCATTCGGACTTAGGTAAGTTCGTCCTATCTACAAAAATACAGTAATATCTCTATAGTAATAAACTAATAAGTAACTGCACGACAGTGGCGAGACTCTTGCGCAAGACCAAGACCATGACTAAGACTGCATTTGCAAGACCAAGACTCGTTTCGTGGGGCGCCAGCAGTGAGAGTTAATACACCATTCAATGATGGTTTAAAAAAATTGAAAGGGGTCTTGAACCTTGAAGATAAAGATGGTAAAAGGACTTCATTCTTTGATGACGATGTTCTGAGACCTTTGTTAAGATAAAATTCAAGAGCAACTCTTCCAGAGAAACTCTCAGTTGAAACATCGACACTGACCACCTCATCGCTATTTAAAAGGTAAAAAACTTTGAAACTTGTGTTCCTCATGCAGTAAATAACAGTCAAAAATTGTTTCGTTATGATGTTTGCGCAGCACTTCTTGGCCGAAACAAAAACAAACCTTTTCTTCCACACTCTCCACATCTATCGCTTACTGACTAACGTTTTTTGTTATAATTCAACTGATATACCAACAAATTTAAAGAAAGACAAACATCACAAATCCTATAATCCTCAAGGGTTTTGGCGTATAAAATAAACTTTAACGAATAAAATCTGTGCCACGCTTTTAAAGATAAAATTGTAATGATTAAAATTTGTTAGAAAATGCATTTTCAGAATTTCCTAACAATAATGATTCAACATACTTTTCAGAAAGAATGAAAAACCCACCACCGCCTGGACAGAAATGCATTGAGAGTAACGAGGTGTATTTTGGTTAATAAAAACAGTTTCATATAATTTATTTTATTCGCCAAAACCCTTGAGGATTATTGGCGTTGTGCTGTTTTTTTTCTTTAATTTTTTTGGTATAGACCAATACGTTTTTAAAAAATCGTAATTCTTTTAAACATTGTTTTTATTTTGTTGTAAGAGGTATATTTGCTGTCTAATTCTAAATTTATCTATTCTTTTAAACATAGTTAACTACGCAGTTATAAAATAAATTTACTCTAAGGAGGATTTTTAAATTTGAAATAATGATTTAAAAGAATATTATTGGCCGTTTCTCCTGCGAAATTAATATTTAATCCTATTATATTAGGATGAATCGTTATTTCAAGTATTCAGTTGAGATATTAATTAACTAATCACCAATTACTTCAAAGATAAATAATGTTTAAAGATCGTGATAATCTGTTACCTTCACAATTACTCTAATTACCGCACCTTGATTGTAGTGGAAATATGTAATTAACGGATCGGCCTCTGTTATTAGTAGCAGTTACATAATATACTCGTTATAACTGTGTATTTCGTTTTATTTTATTGTTTATTATTATTTAAGCCTTGAAATCGTCCACTTTGGCATAAAATTAAAATTTATTAGACAATTTGACTAAAAGAATCCGATATGTAATATCTAAACCGTAACGCTTCCATTTACTTGTGACAAACATTGAAGTTTCTCATATAGAGAACATATACAGAATTCTGTTGAGGCTCATGTACGGTGCACATGACAACATGTTACGACATAATAGAATAATCGAGTAAATAGTGAGATAGACTTTTAGTATTTACTAGCAAGAAAACAATCGTATAAAATTATCAATACTCAACATAAAAAATGAACTAGGAAATTGACACGAGGAAATTCAAGCGTTATTTTAAAAGAGGGGATTTTGAAAAGAAAAAAAAAAAAACTAAATGTTTTATTTTTCAATTGAACTATTTACCACTGAACACTATTATTATTATCATTAAAATAGATTAGCTTATCAATTTTTTTTTTTTGTCTGTCTGTGTTTATTTTAATGTCTCAATTGCATTGTCATTCATTTCATATTTATCTTCCTCACTCAACCCTTCGTAATTGTAAAACAAAATAAGAATTTAAATAAAAAAAGGAAAACTATTCAAAAATTAAATGTATGCACATCCCTCAATACTCAAATAAGAACTGTAAAGGAAATAAAAATATAAACTAGAAAAATCTATTGTATTAAATCTACTTAATAAAATTAATTATAGGCTGGTATTGATAACACACACACACACACACACACATAAATATATATTTATATAAAACTTAAGATATGAATTATAGTCGGATAATCTTGGAATGACCAAGAACTCAATGAACACTCTTAATGATTCAGCCAAGTTAAATCAATTTAAATTACGCCTATAATAATATATTGGAATCAATATAGATTGGCCGGAGCGTTGAGTATGTTTATGTGTGGGTATGTGTATGTATATATACATATATATATATAAACTTTATTGGTAGCAATAGACATTGGACAGAAGTTATTAATTTGATTCATTATTGTAATTTTATATATAAGGCTCTTTATACTTTATTCCATTGTAATATATTTTAAATTTTAGCAAAAAAAAAAATTATCCGACTATAATTCATATCTGCAGTTATAATATATAACGGTCGAATTATAAAAAACATTTTATATATATATATATATATATATAAGATAAAGACCGGAGACTGGCGGTATCAGCCTTAATACTATCTGGTAATGTAAATAAACAGGCTAAGTGTATATAAGGAGGCTTATGGAACGAATAAAGCAGTGTTATTTCAGAAGTCGTGTATGTTACATCTTTTCCCTTTTCCTTCTTTTTTTTTGTTTTCTAAGTCCGACGACGCTTAACTGGTGCCGAAACCCGGGACAACGTCAGGGAAGTAATTTTTTTTTAGTAGATATTTTTTTTTGTTGGTGTTTAAGGAAAAGGTGAAATGCCGACAGAAGGTTTGATTAGACCGGGAGTACTAAGCGTACCGGAAATTCCTCAACCTCAGGATATTCCACAGATCAATCAGGTACCCCAGATCGCGCCTCAGGTACCTCAGATACCTCAAGTCCCTCAGGTAGCACAGATCCCTCAGATCCAGGAGATCCCTCCATTACCAAGGGACACGTTGGCAGAAGCACACGCCAATGCCTTGGAATGGATGAAAATAAGAGCAACAACCACGCAGGACTTACGGAGGGCCATTGCGGACCTGGAACGATTCGGAGGCGAGGTAGGCGAGCTCAACCATTTCTTGAAAGGCGGAGATCGTCTTATGTCAAGAATCGAGGTGAAGGTGGCGGAGGACCTGGTGAACCTAGGGGACGCTGAAGAACTAAAAGCAGCTCTTGTGTGCCGAGTAAGGAGGAACGTCCTGAACCAGATCCAAGCGGACGAGGAGACTCCGTGGCCGGTGATTAAGGAGCGGCTGAAGAAGGCTTTTGGAGGAGGTAGGTGGACACCGGAAGAGGACATATTCCAAATGTTTAGGGAGCGGCGGGCCCAACGACAGTCAAGGGGGCAATATGCGGGAGTACTCGTGGCGAAGTACAATCGCATAACCGAGAAGATGCGGGAAACAATGAGCGTGGGAGAGGTCGAAGCCAGGATGGAGTTTCTGTCGACAATATTGAAAGTCCAGCTGGCTAAAGAAACGGGGAAGAGGGACGGACTGCCCAGGGAGCGATCGTTCCTCGAATGCGCCCAGGAGATGATCGACCTAAGTGCCAGAGAGGAGGAGACACGGATGGATGTGGAAGAACCGGGTTGGACCCGGGTGACGGATAGACGACCATGGACAGCCCCGACAGGTTGGAAGAAGAGGGACACCAGGCAGCCGAGTGGAGAAAAAGCCCCGACGAGGGAAAGAAGATCGGGACAGTCGTCGAGGCCGAGGAATGGGCCCCGGAGGGAAGAGAGAAAATGTCACGGGTGTGGGAAGCCGGGACATTTAGTAGCGCAATGTCCGCGCACCAGATGCTTCGAGTGCGGGACGGAAGGGCACATAGCAAGGCAGTGCCCATACATATTTCACAGGAGGGAG